ACCTAGGGAGCCCCTCACCTGCCCCCCATGCCACCAGGACTAGGTCTGTAGCCATCCAGGCTCATGTTTTCCATGGACTCTGTGTCGCTTTTGCCATCTCGATGGTCTGAGGCATCCAGAAACAAACTGCAGACAAACAAAACCACAGGTATGTCCTGTTTGGTGAGGAGGCTGCTCTGTGAGTGAGCTCCTGCACTACCAGTGATCCGAGTGGGGTGGCAGTATCCCTCCCGTCCCTGCAGCAGGAGAAAGCTGGCACCCAGAACAGGGGTGTCAGCAAGGATCCTCACCTGGGCACCTCCCGGGGTGCCGGAGGGCTCTGCCGCCGGGCCGTGGGGGAGCTTTTGGGTTCGCCAAGCTGGGCTTTCTGGAGGAGGGTTTGTCCCACAGTCTCTCTTTTGCTGGCTAGAAAGAGAGAGGCATCAAGAGGGGAATCTAGAGCACCCTGGAGAGACAGGCTGCAAAAGGAGGCACGGCTGGGGTGTTCCTACCTGCCGGCCGGTGCCGCAGGGATAAGCGCACCATGTCGCTGCCCAGCCGGTTGGCAAAACGGTTGACCCGCTGGTCATAGAACCAGTCACCTGTTGTCTTCTTCAGCTCACTGCAGGGCAGAGGGGCAGTGGGGGGCAGTCAGGGGTAGTGTGTGGGCTGCTCCCTGCACCCCAACACCCCCATCAGTGCTGTCACCAGCCAAGGAGAGCACAGGGACAGTGGGCAGGTTCAGGAGATGCCTGGGCAGAGAAAATGCACCAGGTAGATGACAGGCTCAGCTACATCCCCAGCAAACACAGGAGCAAGACAGGTTTTGTAGGACACAAGAGGCTGAGAAGGAAGAAACCCAGGGTGCTTGAAATACAGGCTCCGCGAGAGGCACAGGGGCACACCAGAGGCAAGCAGGAAAAAGGAGCAGGGTGGGCTTGAAGGAGACCCAAGAGTGGGGCACGAGCCAGTTCTTCATCACCCAACCACAGATGCCCACCCCAGGATGCGAGTGCCCTACACTGGAGAAGCCCAGATGGGATAGGAAAGGTGGTTCACGGGGCATCAAGCTGGAGTGACTGGGAAGAGGAAGGGGACAGGAGGAGCGCCCCCCTGCCACTCGTCCCGGGGTACTCACGCTTCCTTGGAGCAGACTTTGCAGCGCCAGGAGCTGTTGGGGCTGTAGGAACGGCAGTCCCGGCACACCAAGTGGTTGCAGCCCCTGCAGGTGTTGGCCTTGGGGCTGATGCGGCCCAGGCTCTGCTGGCAGCGGGCACAGGTCCGCTCGCTGTAGCGCTGGCTGCCCCGCTTGGCTCCCTTGCGCCGGATCTCCAGCAGCTCATTCTTCAGGCGCCTG